TAAGAGAANTCTGTTATATTTGTTGTACCTTATCCCCTCTCTGTTTAATGCCAAAGTTGAACAGATGTTGACTGGGCCTGTAACTTAAACCCGAGGCCCATCTTAGCTCTTTCTCTCTATATTGTTCTTNGGCTCGTAATGATGTAAGCCCAAATAACTCAGCTCCTGGTTCAATTTCTTCTGAACCGGTTTTGAATGCTGAACCAAATTATCACATAGATGATCGAGGAATTATCAACAGTGAAGATAGGTGAGTTTTCCGGCCTCTACTCAGACACATGATGCAATTGGAGTTCTACCATGAAGAATCAAGTGGAAGTAGAAGTGAAGGGATCGGATCTTGAAGAATCAGAGTTGATTTTTCTTGATTTGTCGGCCGGAACGCTTTCTGTAATGACGGAAAGAGTTGGCCGAACTTTTCCTTCCGGCAATGCTCTGCTTCACACGTGTATAGCACGTGTCTCATGTTTCTTCATCCTTATCTCATTAGTTTAATGGTTAATGCTGTTTAGGATTAATGTTTTGGATTAGCTGGGCTTGTACTTGTATATTTCCACTTGTTTGTGACCCGATTGGGTTTTAATGACCACAAAAAAAAATATCTTGAAAATGTCTCTTGTTTTCCATCTTCACTTAGGCTCTGAATAAACCCTTTGAAATTATTTTTCAGTGTGACCAGTTATGATGTGTTATCCCCTCCTATAAGAAAAGCATAAAGAAGGAAGCTTGCTAAACGGTTTCAAAAATCACTACAAATTGAACAACAAATTCATGTGAGCAGTTTTGTTTCCTAATCCTGTACATGAGCTATCGATTTTTTTTTTTCAAACCAAGTTGATTAATACAATTAAAGTTCTGGTGCAGAGGATAGTCTAAAGAGTTTCAAGGCCTCCTCAACTAAGGTATCGGCAGGCACATTCGCCTTGCGAGATAAGTGAGTTAGCTTGATAGAAAAAGAAAAAGATCGCATCAAACATCGAATGTCGAATAGAACGCTTTTTAGCTTGTTGATCACACCTCCATTGTTAAGAAGAGTGACAAGAGTTAGAGAATCAGAGAGCAAATTGAGGTATCTCATCTCCGAGTTTGAAGCAGCACATATGGCGGCTTTTATAGCCAGTCCTTCCGCAACCAGTGTCGAGGAAACAAGTCGATACGTAGCGAATCCTTCAAGCAGAGTAACATGCCTCTGTTTCGTGAAAATCCAGCCTACTCCACACTCCATTGAAGATGCATTTCACGCAGCGTCCGTGAAGCAATTAACGGCAGTGCACTTCGGGTCGTGTGGTCGCTGTATGGTGAGCCTTTTGCCCCCAATCGTTCCTCGTTATTGTGCATCCTGCCAACTCCGTGCCTCCATCGCAATTTTCAAGCAGACTGCATGTAATGACCCTATCAAGAGATCAAAATAGTTACGGGAGATGATCGAGCCAAGATCTAGTTGATAGAAGAAAAATTGTCAAGCATGACGGGATTTTAAGCACGAGGTGGCCCGAAGCATGACGTGGCATGGTGCTTTTAAACTTGATATTTTCACAAAAATATAAAAGTTTATGAAAGCACGACAGAGCTGCTCCGGATTGACGTGTTTGGAATCCGCAAGCATGACAAATCAGAAACACGACAAATCCCGTAACCACGAGGTGTCATGATCTTGTGTGACGAGTTATCGGAGCACGACAAATCTACAAGCACGACAAATCATAAGCATGACAAATCCCATAAGCACGAGGTGTCGGGATCTTGTGTGACCAGTCATCGGAAGCACGACAAATCCACAAGCACGACAAATCTGCAAGCACGACAAATCCACAAGCACGACAAATCTACAGGCACGAGGTATTGCGACCGCGTGCAATGACTCATCGGAAAGCACGACACACACTTCTGACCGTCCTACTGTGCCTACCTACTTGCTTAACCCTATAAATAGGATCAAGTAACTCTCATTTCTTACATAGAAAACATTCCAAACCTCTGACCAAAATAGTTTGTGATTGTGATCTAATCCGCGGTCTGTTATCGGAAACCATCCAGTAGTGCCGTGAAGTTTTTAGGATAAGGCGTTTCGACCCTAACTTTTCTAGCTGACTTACTTTCGTCTTGTGAACTTGAATCCAACCCTTTGTGGTTTTGATGGTTGGAATGATCGAGATTCAAGCCGAAACTCTGTCCTTTTAAGAAAAGGGAAGATTGTTAGATCATGGAGTAGTCAAGGAACCTAGATCTGTTCTAAGCCTAAGTCCGGGTATAAGTCCTAAGCGTTTGAATAAGCTGAGTCTTGGTGATTCTTGTCGTGTGCTAGATGAGTAGAGCACATGTTGCTTGTTTATTGTTATGTTTTATAGCCATGGAGGTTCTTGCTAGAATTTTATGAATTTGGTTAA